AGGGCGGTGGCATCGGCGACTGGGTATACATGAGGGACGGCAGCTCGCTCACTGAGATTCTCAGGAAAGAGCTGGGCGTTGACGTCAGTGTAGATGACCAGGTCCCGCGTTAATAGAGCGTGCTATAGTCAGTAGCACATGCTCTAGTACGTCGTCCCGTCGCAGAGCATATTTGGGCAGATAGCCTCTTCTGGCCAGGAGAGTATACACGATGATACGGTAGCAAATAGCGAAAAGCGACAACAATTTATGATTGCGCATTCCCAACTCTGCTTCCCCAAACATTCCATGTGGTATCTCCCTGGTCTTTGAGAGACTGCGACCACGTTGTATAGCCAACTTCCCCCAAACGCCGATATATGCATTCCAACGCCGTAGATACTGGGAGACATGGTATGGAACCTCGTAAGGTGGTATGAATTGATAGTCGAGGAACCTAGGCGGTAATCGCGACGCTCTTGGGCGCATCGTCGTTCTCTGGTGGGAGATCGGACTGCAACATGTCAGTGCTCAAGTCTCGCCATGTACTGAGTAGAAGACATACCGGGTCGAAGATGATGCGTATCATCAGACTACAACTGGGACAGCGCGCAATGTCCTCTCCGTCGCGCATGTCATAGATGGAGATCTCAAAACGGTCGCCGCATGGGCACGGGTGGTGGTATATTTGCAGCGTCTCGTCATAGAAGCAGTCTTCGATTTCGATCTCATCGTAGAGGTTCAGCTCTTCGTCGGCCATGTTGGGTAGGTGTGCGCGTGGAAAGAGCGATTGAGTTCGTCGCCGACTGCGAGGAAGTGGCGGGGTGGGTGGGAACTTTTGGCCGGCACGCTAGCCATGGACCTGCATTGATCCGCCCGTCCATTCACATCACCAGAAGCTCCGAACACGTACCGTAACGTCGAGGCCGCCCGCCTACCCCGTCCGCGACTTTCATCTGCACCCTACCATGGGCGCGCACCTGAGACACGAAAAAAACTGAACAGGTTTGCAGACTACATCAAGACAAGAACCTTCAAAGTGGGTGACCTAACGTCAACGTAGGCTCTAGGGTGTTCAGCACGTCTAGAACCATGGGCGACGTCGAGTCCGCCACGGTGAAGCTCGCGGAGCTGCTGCGACACCCAGAGGACCTCGACAAGATACCTGCGCTGAAAGCAGAGTTCATGCGCAAGAAGGCGGCTGTAGACGGACAATTACGCCATGGGTTGAAAGAGCAGCTTGAGTTGACCCAGTCGGGTATGAGCAGCATCACCGAGGGTCAGCGCACCGTCAACCTGATCAAGGAGGGTAAGTAGCTGCCACGGATAGTCCTCAAGATATCCTGCTAACTTATTACTAGTATGTAGCTCCCTTGCTATGCTTTGCCAACGCGGTTCTGAGACCTCTTATTATTCGTGCTAACAGATTCATAGGAGATGATGAAGATAGACAAGCTATGCGCCGAGGCCCAGAATATGATTCAGGACTTCCCGCACATCAACCTGGTTGCGCAAACACACAAGAACTTCGAATCGGTGGAGAAGATGCGCAATGACATCGAGGCCTTTGAGGAGCGCCTGGAGAACCTCGAGATCCTGCTGGCACAGGACGACGAAGACCCCGCGAACCAGCCGAACCTGCTACAAGTCCACTACGGTCTGACGCAACTACGAGACATCCGCGACGAAGCCATGGGCCAGATCAAGAACAGCGACACTTCCACCGAACTCATCGATAACCTCACACTCGAGAGCGGTATTACGGTGCAGGACCTCTTCGCGCGCTTGGACGACGTCGTAGAGTGGTTTGACAGGCATATCGGCGAGGCGTGCATAAACCTCATACAGTTGGTGCAGACCGACAACGTAGGCATGGTGGTCCGCTTGGCCGTCGTGATTGAGGAAGAAGAGAAGACGGACAAGAAGATCAAAGCGCTGCAAGATGCACAGAGAGAGTTCGGAGATCTCGCCTCTCGCTTCAAGTCCATCACACAAGGGCCCAAGGAGCTTCGCGGCTACAAGGAGAAGTTCATTACCTCCATCGAATATGTTTGCAAGGCAGAGATGGACGGAGTGAGAGAACAGTTCCAGGAAGACCCCGAGAAGGTCGAAAAGTACTTCAAGTGGTACTTCAACAACCTGAACACAGTCAAGCTGGGTATGGTCGAGCTCATGCCGAAGAAGTGGAAGATCTTTGACACATACACCAACATCTACCACAAGCAGATGCACGACTTCCTCATGGAGTTTGCCGATGATGAAGCTCTTGGGCCGCAATACTTGCTGGCTGTCATCAATTGGGTGGACAAGTACTACGTCAAGATGCAGAAGCTTGGGTACTCAGAAGAGCAACTACAGCCACATGTCATCGACAACCGCAGTCCCGAGCTGATACGGACCTACCGCTCCGTCATCATCCAGGCTGTGGATCAATACATGGAACGCATCAATACACAGGACCGGCAGAGATTCGTGCAGCAAGACAAAACTGCATATGAGACCAACTTTGACGGCATCCTCCAAACGAAGGCTCTTGGAGACGTCTGGACGCTTTTTAGCCAGAACATCGGTGTCGCTGCCAGTAGTCAGCGTCCCGACGTTGCTGATGGTGTAGTCGACTCCATGTTCCGTGCCCTATTGTCTCGCCAGCGTATATGGACGCAACTGATCGACGAAGAAAAGGCCAAATACCTCGGACCTACTCCCGCGCAAGATGAAGATGATATATATGTCTTGCAGGAGTGGCTCATCGCTCTTGCAAACGACCAGATCATCTGCATTGACGATGACATTGACGGCAGTGGTCAAGCCTCCTTCCTAAGCGTCTTTGAGCGTGAAGTCACGCCTATCGTCTCCCAGGATTACATGATCGACAAGCTGGCCAAGAATGTGGACGAGGCCAAGAACGGCTATATTGACATTTCATCGCACTGCATACAAGTCTTTAGCGAGCTCATCTTCATGGTCGATCTTAAACCTGTGCTTTCCAAATTCTTCACCGTCGAGTGGTACTCGAGGCAGGATATGGCATCGATCATCACAACGTTTAAAGACTACGTGGATGAGTTTCTCCCTAGGATCCACCGCTCGCTACAGGATCTTATCATCGATTCTCTCGCTGACGAGCTGCTGGTTCAATATCTCGGGGCTGTGCGCAACAAGGGTGCCAAGTTCAAGAGGACGGATCAGTTTGCAGACAAGATGAAAGACGACCTTTACACGGCGTTCGACTGGTTTATGTCGTTTGGTGAGCAAGGTCGCGATATCAAGGACCGATGGCGCGCTGTGCAACAGTTCCTTAAGCTGCTGGAATGCGACAAGTCGCAGGTGCAGTTTGCGTATGTGGAGTTCAAGAATGCTTATCGGGATGTTAGTATTACATGGGTGGAAGCTGTTTTGAGAACAAGGGATGACTTTGACCGGGGCATGTTGAACGCGGTTAAAGCAAAGGCCGCAGAACCTATAGCAGAGGATGCGCCTCCGGATCCGATCATGGGCAGGGTGAAGTAAGGCTTGATTTGGCATATATCAATTTCGGAGAGGGCATCTCATACAAGGGAAAAAACTGAACAGGTCTAGAGCCTACATCGACGCCAAGTCACCTATCCTGTAGGTCTGCATGTCAATGTAGGCTGTTGGCCTGTTTGGTTTTTTTCTTGGTGGGCCTGAAGGCATGTTTGGCGTTGGAGGTGTGTAATATGGGGTCAGTGTTGCAGTCGCCGGCAACGCGGCATCACTAACGACTCTAGAGCAACACGAGATACCCCGGATTTCTGCTCGTCACTAGATTAGCGAATACGAACTTCCTCACATCATGTTCACTGAGCGAAAAGTGTACAATCGCATCGTATTGCTGACTTGCTTGCGGTATGACGTCTGCAGACCCCTATCCGCAGTTCGCGCGCTCTCATCAAACACAAAAGCAGCGATGGGCGAGGATGAGCAGCAAGATCGACAGGTACATTTCCTCGTCGACGGGAGCATTCATGATCGAGGTGATAGCCTAGCCCCATCACGGCTAGCGTCAGGGGTCCGCCCACCGGCGTCTCAGAACGGTGGAAGGCGCCGCGTGCTAATATTGAGCCGTTCCTATCAAAATGACCTTAATATGCAGGCCGCATTTTTGGTTGGAAGCTGTGATTAGGGATGTTTCGAAACAACTCGTCCTCGAGATGTCGCGTGCAGCGATGGAAATAGAACTCAACGCCTTTGTAACAGCAAAAGCAGTCTGAACAATCGTAACGAGGCGCGCGAAACACAAAAAGCCCAGCATGACGCGCAACACTCCCCCACATTCATCGCGGCAATGGCAAGGCTTTTGCAAACCTCATGCCGCGCACCTACCAACCGTCGATCAACAAACACAATTTCCGCTATCGCCCACCCCAACCTGTGAGCAATCCAGCATGCTCGCCACACCTGACATGCAAGGATGACCCAACCAATCTAGACCACCGCCCGCGAGGAAATGAACCAACTCAGTCGATCGATGGGCAAGGCTGGCGCGTCCTCCACCCACCCCATCACCTGTCATATGACTACTAATAAGAGGGCTGTATAAGACCCATTGGACCGCCTCATATCCCTCCTACTACTCTTCTTCTCTCATCATCCTACGATCCAAACATAATCTATAGTACCTAGTGTTCTATTAGCCACTCATTTTTTTTCTTGCAAGCCAAGTCAAACTCACACAGTCTTTACTACCACCAATCACTCAACGACTCGACTTTACGTCTCCTAACGCCTTATACCCAATTTACCTTCTCCCAACTTCTATCAACATTCAAGATGCGTTTCTCCGTCGTCGCCGCTTCCCTCGTCGCTGTTGCTGCTGCTCAGTACGGTGCTCCCGCTGCTGAGGAGTCCTGCTCTGCTGCCGTCACTGTCACTGTCACCGAGTACGTTTTTCCTCTTCCCATTCATTATCGACTTTCGTATTAATAAACATGTCCAGGACTATGCAGCACACCCCCGTCGCTCCCTCCATGAGCTCCGCCTACTACCCCACCACCGCCCCCATGGCCCCCTCCTCCGCCCCCGTCATGGGCGGCACCGGCGTCCCCATGGTCCCCGATGCGTCCTCCGTCGGCACCGGATACGCCATGCCCACCGGCACTGCCGCCCCCACTGGCAGCATGACCGGTCCTCCTCCCTCTGAGTTCACTGGTGCCGCTTCCGGCCTCAAGGTCGGTGGTGCGCTTGCCGGTGTCGGTGCCGTTGCTGCTTTCTTCTTGTAGATTGAGTAATAGGTGTGGTGGTTTGAGATGGATGGAGAAGGAGATGGATGAGAGATTGCGGTTGTTGCGATACCCAAAGGGTTGCGTTCTTTGTTTAGTACCTTTTTTGAATTGATGTTTGATCCCGGTTGTGGCTTTTTATGAACGTGGCTCTCCTGTTGGTGATGTTTGGGCGGTTAGTGAAAGATGTCTGTAGTGACTGAGTGAAGAAATGTCGCTGACAGTTATGAGGTAGCTGTGGAGGAAGGGCTTTGTGGAGTATATGTTTGGAAATTGCTTTGACTGACTAGGAACTACTGCTTTCTTTACCATCTTCTCCGGAAGAGTCTTCTCAGAAGATTTCTGACAGGGTTACCACAACCGACGCTGTCATTGCTACTCCTCTTCGCTACACCTCCGCCCTTCAATGGAACTACCCACTGGACATCTCTCTTTACCCTTGGCTGTGGACGATGCGAGGGCAGCGGATAGTAAGGGTAATCACCCTCCTTAACAATCGGCAACGAACCCTGAACCTCTGGTCCCAGTTCCAGGGCTTTCGTCTCGCGCCCTACTTCAGTCGCTGACCGTCCTGTCTGCTCCGTTCTGTCCACGTGCTGAATCTTCTCATCTTGTTTACGGACAGCATCTTGAGCCGCGTCAGTAAGCGCGATACTCAATGGTCTCGTATCCAAGCTGTCTTCATCTTTGTTCTCTTCTTCTTCGTCTTCACCATAAAGGTCCAAGTCATCAGGCAGGATATCGCTCATCCGCGTAGTTTGTGATCCCCAACCTTCCTCTCCAGTTGCCCGTGCGCTAGATGAGTTCAAATCACCAGATGAACTATCGGACAAATCAAGAGAGCTGATACTACCATTGAAGCAAGTGCGAGGTAGTGGATACGCAGGCAAATCTTCCGTAGATCTTGAAGTACGGAGAACGTGGTTAGCGTGAAAAAGAGTGAGTGCAGGAGATGGCGGAGATGGTGGCAGAACAGGCGAATCAGTACGGAAAGATGTTGGGCTGAGGGTTATCGTTGGGCTGAGGAGGAATGTTTGGGCGCCGGGGAATACAGGGAGAGTTTTGACGCTGGCGTGGAAGGTTGTTGTTGTAGGAGTTGGACTAAGCAGAAACGTTTGCTTGACAACTGCATTCGTGGTAATCGTCATGTTGGGGTTTCGTCGTGGCATTGTCCACGATTTTCGGTCTGGAGAGAGCGCAGGGATATGGCGAGTGATGTATGTGGTCGTGGATCTTCTCGTGATCGGTTTCCAACGGAGAGATGCGAAGCGGTAGACGAAGAGTGCTGCGTAACAGGACAGCGAGACTTGCATTCTTGCTGAAGGCTTTCATAGTAGGCTTATCACAGAAGTAAAAGGTGAGCGTTGGAGATGCACTGGTTAGTAAATAAGGACATTGTGGCTGTGTGGAAGTGGACGGGACAAAGATATAACAGCGGCGATGAGATTTGGTATGGAGACAAAGAACAGATGATGGTAAGCTGGGCGAACAGTGGTGATTATATACCGTGGAACAGTGTAGATAAACATTTCGACTAAATAGCCATTCTGTCTGGCTTTCAGGAAGACTATATTCGCTTCAGACTTTCGTGGGTAGCTAACCCAACATTGAGATACTCCCCACTCATCATCATCTCCCCCTTCTGCAACAAGCAAGCTCACACTCCGGGTCGCAGCACCCAGGCATCGCTCCAGGGCCCATTTGCCTCAACGCTGCATCGGTAGCAGCTTCGTCGAGAGCAAATGTTGCTCGTGCAATAGCAGCCTGTGCTCTGTCAAAAACCATGCGTTCTTTAGCCCATTTTTTCGCAGCAGCCGCTTTCTCGGCTTCCTCTTTTCTCTTGGCAGCTTCTTCAGCACTAAGAGGCGGCTCGTTGCGACCCTGTATCTTCTCTGCAAACCACGACTTAGCTTTGCGCAGTCCAGATCGCCCCGATGCTGCGATTTCAGGTAGGACTTTGGTCTCATTCCATGTCGATAAGTGATGGGTGCTTTTTCTGAGATCTTTAGAACTTTTCTTGAGAAGTAGCCGGCTGTTGATTGGTACCTTATTGCCTAGGTTGGGCGCTCGTGTGGTGGCTACATCAGTAGCAATGTTGCCTAGAGGAGATCGTGGTGTGTTGATTTCACACGCAGCGGTATGTTCTAGTCCCCATCTGTCAGGTACTTCCGTGGTATCGCTACCTGCTTTGCTTTCGGTGTCGCAATCGCTTAGAACAAGTCGTGGCTGATCATTTCGCCCAAAGGCGACATTTATAGCTCCTCGCCTGTTCCGCTTTTCCGTAGTATTGCTATCTGTGTCTGTGATGCAATCGCTTACAACAGAGCATGATCCATCGTTTTGTTCAAGAGCAATGTATCCAGTTGCTGGATCGTCAGGCAATTCTGTGGTATAGCTTTCTGTATCTGTGTCGCAGTCGCTTAGAACAGAGCGTGTGTTGGTGGTTTGGTTGACTACGGTGTACTTGCGCTCTCGTCTCTTGGGCGCTTCGCCGTTCTCGGAGTCAGTAACAGAGTCAGTTCGAGTGGAACCTTGCCTATACTCGTGTTGGTAAACCTGGCTGCGACGCATATGTATTGATCGAACGTGTGAGCTATAGGAACTTCGATTGCTGCGATTGATTTCAGGAGCGTCATCTATCAGGGCTTCGTGTGAGATGGTAAATGTCTCTTTTTGTACGAGAGCTGTTGGAGGGATAGACGTTGGAGCTGACGGTAGCGTTTCCGCATTTGCGAATCTCATCGGAACTTCTGCACGAATTTCCTCCCAGTCTTCTCTTCTCGAGAATGGTGGGCAGGCGACGATGTGCCTAGAAAACCTGTCTGTTGGTGCTGGCTCGGTATACCTTGGAGACGGAAAAGGCGCTGGGTGAGGATTTTCCCTATCGTACAGTTGCTCAATGCCGACTATTCCGTGACGACGAGACGACCGATCGACTGCCGCGTAAGGGATTGTTGCAAGAGATGATAATCGTGTATTTGCAATACCAGACCCAGGAGATGTAGCAGGATCCACCGTCGGCTCAGCGGCGTTCTCACTTTGGTCTGCTCGAAAAGTAGCCCGAAGATCTCCGTCACGCGATTTGTGTGGAACGTCGCATGCTTCCATCCTCTCGATTTCCAACTTGCGTTGTCTGGCACTCATCGAGCCCCAAGGTCGAGATGGCATGTTAGTCGCAGGCGATATGTCTCAATCCGGTTGAGAGCAGCTCACCGGAAATTTCCTCTCAAAGTGCGGAGAAAAGGCGCGGCCGATGTGTTTGGGCAACAACACTGTAAAGGTACATGTTTGACGGAGGAAGAATGGTGAAATATCGAATGCATGCTAGATGGTGGTCGAAGGAGGATTGATGAGCTTTCAAGATCATCATGATGAACATGGGGAAATGGAGCCATATCGAAGAAGATGAGATGTATCGCCGAATGTGTAGAGAGAACAGAGCGCAAAGAAGATCCAGTAGAACGAAACATCTCTAGGCGTTAGCGAATCGTATGAGGATGTCCTCATTTAGAGCCTCCTTCTCCTTCCTCCTTTCCTGCCTGCGACCAGATATCGTCATCGTCAGTCACGTTGTCCTCATCCGTCTCCTCCGATGAGCTGTCCGAGGAAGTAGCTGGAATAAGCCACTCTCGCAGATCAGGATCCTTCCTCAACTTTGTGTGTTTCAGGCCACTGAGTACTAGACGATCAGTCCGACGATAGTCATTCCAATCGTAGCGCTTAGACTCGTCTATCTTACAGTAATGACCTCCGCCCTCGCCTCCATCGCGCTTATAATGGGCATTGAGGTTATGGCAAGAAGTTACATGGCGGACGTCGCATGCTTCCTTCGTGTAAATTTCGTATTGGCGCTGGGCTTTAGCAATGCGATCCATGGTCCACTTTTCTTCTCTCTGCTGATATCTCGATGTAGTCCGGCTAATTCGTACGCCTTACCAATACAGGCGTTGTTATGTAGTACCTGTTGACAGGGTCCGCTGGGGAAAGCTCTAATTGTGTAATCAACGTCCGTGGACTGTCGAGGTACCAAGCTGAAAGAGACGGCCTGAAGCTGTGCGACGTAGGAATGGAAAAGGACCGTCGCGCTTTAAAAAATTGCCGTTAAGATATAATATGGTAGCATAGACTTTCTCAGACCGCGATTTAGACTGTGGATTCGTAGAATGGAAAGAAGTATAGGGTTCTTCTGTTTGTCTGCGTGTGAGGTGTTGATGCCGTCCTGGTTCAGACGATTGGTCGTTGGATCTGAAGACTTTGGCGTGTATACGCGTGTTCTTGGTATATAGGATCGGCATTTGAACTGTGAATAAACAAGAGTGCTGTCATGTAACCGGCGATGAATACATTGTTTGGTAAGATGGCCATACGTTGTGCAAACTAGAGGAGATTAGAGCTCACAGTATGAATATTTCCAACTAACCACAAGGGAAAGACATGTCTCAGACCGACAAACAGCCTGATCAGCTGCAATAATCTTCCATTGGTCATGTGTGGTATACTCCCGGGATGCGGTACGTAGAAGAAATCTAAACTTCGTGTAGATTGCCGTAAGTAAGGTATCAACGCCACCATAGATGAACGCCTATGCGTGAATCCCAATTTTGGATGATCGGACGCGCCAAGTAGTGTGGTTCGCGGGCCGTCATAGACTGTACAATAATTACGAACTTCCTCTTCAACACTCAGCGCCGGCTTTTGAGTCCAGCCCGAGCAGCTGTTGATCGTCGCTCCGGTTTCGATTCGTCTCCGCTCTCGGATTCACCGTCATCCAAATCATCGCTCATGGGCTCTGACATGTCCCCTCCCTCGTCATCATCCGTCTCTTCTGCCTCATCGTCGATGAGGTCTTCGTCAGAGCCTTCACTACCCTCGTCGGAGACGTCATCCATTTCCATGTTCAGGCCCATATCGTCCGACGAGCTTTCATCGTCTTCCTCCATTTCCGGGCGCGATCGCTTCGGGGTTGCAGTGGCTCCCTCGACCGACTCGTCATCAGAGAC